CGATTTATATTATTTTTAAAAAGATAATTACATTTATAATGAATTAATTTTACTATCTATTTTTTATATATAAATAAATATTTATAATTTATAATTATTATTAATTAAATATATATTTTAATTTATTATATTTATATTAAAATGTGTATGTAAAAGAAATATTTAATCATTTTTTATTTATAATATTATTATTATTATTATTATAACACTGTATTCAAATATTTGAATATTTATAACACTATTATTATAATACTCGTATTCAAACATTTGATTATATATAAGTTAATTCATTTTTAAGTTGTCATTTAAAAATATGAAATATATTGTTTATAAGGAAATATTTAATAAGTTAATTCTTGTTCAATTAGTTCGAAGTAATAAAAATTTAAATTATCAATTCCTTTAATCCTTTAAAATATAATTATTTTATTAAGATAAAATTTGATATATGATAAATAAGAATAATAAGATAAAAAAATATGACATAATAAAACCTAATAAATATAAATTATAAATAAAATAATATTAGTTATTACTTTATGTAAAATATTTAGAAAAAGATAAAGAATAAAAAAAATTAACTTTGCGTTCATCAAATTGGTTGAAAAGATTGAAAAAAAGACATATTGATGGGAGAAGGAGATGTGAAAAACTAAAAGGTAAGAGAAAGAATAATGTAATAAATTAATTGATATAAAATATTAAAAAAGATAAAAAAATTAAAAACTGGGTAGAAAAAAAAATTTGGTGAAATATAAAAAAATGACCTTATATGTAAAAAAAGAAAAGGAAATACTTTTAGAATATTAATATTTTAAAATCTAAATTTAAATATAAAGTCGGCGCGGGGACGGGGACGTGGTTGGGGTGGGGATTGCATTACCTATCCCCGCCCCACTCCCGACTTTTTAAAGCGGGGAAAACCCGAACCCGCCCCTGTCCCCGGTCAACTCGGATTTTCCCCGTCAAACTCGGGGCGGGGACGGGTCGGTCCCCACGGGGACGGGTTTAATTGTCATCCTTATCTCTTAGGTGTGTTTAGGCATTCACATTTTTCTAATAAGTTGTATATAAACTACCCTTAATCCTGACTCTAAGCGATGTGAGGGTCATGGGCATAGTGGAACATAAGTCCCCCAATCGATGACTAAGGGGTAAGTATGAGTGGAGCGAGACTAGGCTCTTGGCCCCATGGTGGATGCCAAATGTTCTTACCAGACTGATGGAGGTCGATAAGAGAATGTGATAAGATCGATGGATCGTGTTCTAAGTTTCGACTTTGCCTTTAACTTCGAGGATGTTGAATGACTTCCTTTAAAAAGAGTAGAGACCCACCTGAAAAAAGCACTCTGATGCTCAAGTAAGCTTTTAGACAAGAGAGTAATATATTTGAGAATGAGTGATGAGTCTCCTTGTATAGGATTCAAAAGATAATAATAATCCAAAATATAATAACTAAGAGCCCAACAAATAATAACTGATAACCAAAAAGATAATACTTGATATAAGATATTGTAACAAATTAAAGATAATTAATAATATGTATCAAGATAACTAAATAAATAAATTAGTTTTAATAGCTTTGGGTCGGGTAGATACAAAAGTCTCTCAAACGAGTTTAAGGTTAAGTTGATCATTTTATTGAGTAGTTTTCGATTTGAACGTATTTATTCTATCAACCATTATTTGGTTAGATTAAGACATATTCATGAGATTTACTCAGTAAAGTTTATTTATTTATCATGCAAAAATATTTGATAACTCGTGTGACCCTAAGTAAGGTAAATGCAGATTTTGATAACTCGTACACCGGAATAAGTTATGCATAACTCATGTGACCTCGAGTAAGAAATGTATAACTCGTGTAACCTCGAGTAAGGTAGATGTAGGTTTTAATAGCTCATATATGTAAGTAAGGTATGTATTACTTGTGTGACCCTTAGTAAGGTATATGCAAATTTTTATAACTCATATACCTAAGTAATGTATGTATAACTCATGTGACCCCGAGTAAGATAGATGCAAGTTTTGATAACTCATATACCCGAGTAGGATATATATATATATATATATATATATATATATATATATATATATATATTGTGTGATCCTGAGTAGGGTAATAATTTTATACTCGTGCGACCCCGAGTAGAGTAATAGTTTTATACTTGGGCAACCCCAAGTAGGGTAAGTTTTATACTTGTATGACCTTGAGTAGGGTTATACTCGTGTAACCCCGAATAGGGTAAGTTTTATACTCGTGTGAGAGGTGTTTCCCAGTTAAGTGGGAAAGGTGTTTCCATGAGCATGTAAGTTGAAGTCAGAGTGAGGCTTTCACTTTAGGTTCTCTTGAAAGAGGAAATTAGACCATTATTTTGTTAGTGTATTCGCGTCCGAGATTCTCCTTCGAGTGACTCTTTCTTGGGCTTGAAGATTTGACACTTAGGAGGTGGATTTCCCGATCTACGAGCAGGTTGACTTTTAGTTTGGTCTGAGTTTTCGAGTTTTGAACGTATTCTATTGGTCAGTACTCTCGATTATTGGGTTCACGCTTGACTTGATGTAGTGGTCTCTTCTTGGTGTATGTTTGACTTACTCGTATGTGGTTGTTTTACTAAAGTCTTTACTTTGTTTCATAGGATTTGAAGCTCGACTTAGTGATGTTTCTGAATTAGTTGGCAAGTCTTTGATTGCTTTCTGTTAGGTTGCCTAGTGTTGTTTTCGATGCATCTTAAGTTATTATGTTGTCTTTTGTTGAATTTGCAATAGTTTAACATTATTATGTTCTTGCAAAGTTTTTATTTCCTTATAATTTTTTTGTTGACACTCATTCGTCCATATGCTTTTTGAGGCTATTGATGACGGCTACAAAGTTCATATCGTTATTGAAATTGTACACCAAGATCATGGGGACCGTTTTACCAAGTGCATGGTGGGCGCCAATGTTCTTACTAGGAACGAGAATGTCTCCGTCACATATCTGCTATGATAATATTGTTAAGATCAATTCTCATATTCAAGGTGTTGTCTACTTTGGAACTATCGTCCGTCACTTTTATTCTTAAAAAATATATTGGTGACTTATAAAAGAAATATATATATATATATATATATATATATATATATATATATATATATATTAACGAAGTAATATCGTATCAAATAAAAATAGATTTCAAAACAATAGTTGTATTTGGAGTGCCTAAATCTCCATGTAAAAAATTACTAATGAAGATGCTTGTTTTGAAAAATGTTGGATATTAATTATATTATTATAATTAAATTTTATTAAAATCAAATGATAATATTGTTAATCTTAAATTTATTAAAAAGTTTTAGAAAATCTAAAAGAAGAAAGACGATAAAAGAGAACATAATCTTTTAATCCAAAACTTATAATAAATAGGCATTTCTTATTTAAATATTTATTTTTGTGAATAAGAGATTTCAATTTAAACCTCTAAAATCGTCTCGTATCAATTACGCACCAAAACTATTAATGTTAAATGTGAAATGTGATGATGACAACAAAACTAACAACAATTATCTAAAACTGATACATAAAAAATATAATTACAATTTTTTTATAAATCAGTTTGAACAATTAAATTATATCTAATTTCATAATCGAATATTATATTTATATGGATTTTGCAACTATTATCACATTTTGTATAATTTATGAAAATATGTATTTTTGACAAAAAAAAGAAGGACAAACCATCCTTTTAAAAAACAAATTATACTAACCAATTCAACGAGTTAAATGAAAAATTAAGAAATCGTTCTATTATTTTAAAATAATAAAATTAATATAAAATTATTAAAAGTGAAAAAATAAATTAAATTTTTGTATTAAACCAAATAAAATATATTTTACAAATAAAAATTAAAATATAATCTTTTATAAAAAATAAAACATTTTGTATTTTATTTTCTTTATCTCTTACATCAATTTTTAAGTAATAATCATTTGTAACTTTTCTAATTATTATTAATTTTTTTATTTTATATTTATAATAATAATTATTATAATTTTACGTAATTTAAAAATCAAGATTAAAAATAATTTATATATATATATATATATATATATATATCTTTTAAGAATAAAATAAAATTATATTGACAAAATTAAGAATATTTTATATATATTCTTCTTTTTTATTTAGTCATATCTTAAATACAAATTTCACGATAATACACGAAATAATTATTATTTTAAATTATTGTGATTAAAAAAATGTATTAAATACTTGTTATATTAAAAAAAATATTTTATTAAAATAAATCTTAACTAAATCTCAAATGAATTAGACTTTAAACTCATCAGTCTTTACTAATTTAAAAAGACTGCTTGGAACATAGTAGACACTTCCCGTGATTATTTTTATTTCTTCTCCACTTTCCACCTTGCATCCATTCTATGCTTGCCTTTTATGCTTGGTGTTGTCCACTTGATTCATTGGTTGTTTTTATTTATACATTTATTCTTGTCACCATTTTATAGGTTTGTTGACAAACGCACTTGGGTTAACAAATTTAGATTGTTTAATTGATGTCATAGTCAATTAAATCACATGTTATCAATAAAATGTTGTACCCTTTCTTTGTTATTTTACTAATCATTCATCTCCACTGTTCCACCATGTTGGTCACTTCACTCGGTTACTGTTAATTTCTCACTTACTTGCCACCTTACAAAACATTTAGTGTTTTCTTGTTGTTCTTTTGGTACAAAGTTTATAATTTTTTATAACGAATGGTTTGAAGTGCGAGGTAACCTTTTTAATAAAAAATTACAACCTACTAGAAGAAAAAAGCATCAAAGAAATTATTGAATAGATTAAAATGTTAAACATATTTAATGTTTTTTTTTTCAAAAAGTTTAAATTGTTTAATAGAAGTTACCAAATATTCTTATAACCCTGAGCCCAATATGTAGGTGCTGCATTATTCTCACTTCATAGTGTTCTTCTTCAAACAACTCTCACAAAACAATGGCCATTTCCTTCTCAACATTCCTTTCTTCTACCCTCCTCTTCTTCCTTTTCTCCTCTCTCACCACCGCTAAAACGCAGCGTTTCGCGCGAGTCATTTCCCCTTCTTCGCTGGGCCTCGACCAGCCGCAGAAGCTCACCCACCTCCACTTCTTCTTCCACGACGTCGTCGGCGGTCGCAACCAGACCGCCGAGCGGGTCGCGGCGTCGCCAGCCACCAACAAGTCCCCGACGATGTTCGGCGCGGTGGTCATGATGGACGACCCGCTCACGTTGCGCCCGGACGCTGCCTCCACGCTGGTCGGGAGGGCGCAGGGGATCTACGCGTCGGCGTCGAGAACCGAGCTGGGGTTACTGATGGCCATGAACTTCGCGTTCACCCAGGGAAAGTACAACGGGAGCAGCCTGGCCGTGCTGGGGCGGAACACGGTGGAATCCACCGTGAGGGAGATGCCGGTGGTGGGCGGCAGCGGACTGTTCCGGTTCGCCCGCGGGTATGCGCAGGCCAAGACGCATTCTTTTGGTATGTTGGAAGCTATTGTGGAGTATAACGTTTATGTGTTCCATTATTGAAGGTTCTTGTTTTAAAAAAATATATATTGGAAATTCACGTTTGTCACGTTTGGTTAGGTTTTTTCCTCTTCTAACTGTGCCGAAAACTGTAATAATAAGTTGGAAGTCAAATTTGGATTTTTGTTGAATAATTTTCATTTTTTTTTATTGAGAAAGATAAAATAAACTAAAGTAAAAAAGAAAGTTCCAATGACAGCAAAGAGAATAAAAAAAACAACACTGGACATAAACTCCATAATGTAAAAGGTAACATATGAGGAGTTTAAATAATATATTTGTTTCGTACGAAAATTTATGTGTTGATACCTGTAACTCATAAACGTATCGAATTTGACATATTCATTGGATTATAACGTTAGATAAGATTGTGCTATTTATGTTAGGTATATGTTAGAAGCAATTTTAAAAAGATAAAAAAAAAAAAAAAGGATACTAGTAATAGTTTTAGATAATAAGGATTATCATAGTACCCTAAGATTCACGTAAGGATTCTATTCTTTAAGCGGTTATATATATTACATGACAAGACAAGTTAAACATGTTTAAATAAATAATTGTCAATACTTGGTTTTAGAGGGATGGAATGGGATTAATCAAGAAATATATGAAACTCCATTATATTATGTTTTAGCTTTAGTGTAACCCTAGCTAGATTTACATCATGAAAAAATCCAAGTAAAATAAAGACCTTGGAGTATAACATGTACTTTAAAATGAACATTGGTCTTATTGGCTTGAAGACAAGTGAGACTAAATGGACATGGTTAAGGAATTTCATGAAAACAATCAGGGCGAGATTGATGGAAATGTTCCTGCATTTCCAAGAGATGATTTTGATGATTATTCAAGTCAACTACATTCAAGTCAATACCATTCAAGATGAATTTAAGGACAAGCTGAATTTATGACGTAGGTGATAAAGATGATGATTTAAGCAAGGTCAAGATGATTCCTAAAGACTAGATAGAGTCTTAGAATACTAGATATGGAGGTACAAGTTGATGAAGTAATATTATGCATAAGTCTCCAAAGCATAAGTGTGATAAAATTCATAACATGATATTTTTCTCTGTCATAATTAATTATGATGCACCAGAAATGAAAAAATGATTTTCTCTATCATAATTAATTATGTTGGTAATATAATCAATTATGACAATTCAAATTTGAAAAATATATCCGTTTTAAAGAATAAATGTTTTTTAATACATCCTGATTTTCTCTATGATATTATTAATGTCTAATGACCATTTTCTGATGCTATTTTTCTATTTAATTAAGTTTTGATGAAAAATCAAAAACACACAATTACAGAATTCGAAAATACAATTTACATTCAATCAGTTTTGAGAAAAGAATTCTGAGAAAGGCAACAGAGATATTTTACACCTTTTGAGAAAACCTTCTTCTTTACTGTCTTCTGTGCTTTCATTGTTAATCACACTTGTTCTTGGAGATTGACATTCTACAGGCTTCTACAATTTGTTGTCTCCATTACCCAGGTGTGTCTGTTCTTATTTTTATTACCTCCATCCCTAGTGTGATTCTAGGGAGGTGTTCATCCTTAGTGAAATTCTAAAGAGGTGTTTTCATCCTTTGATTTGTTCAAAGGAGGTTTTCATCCCTAATGTGATTCTAGGGAGGGGTTCATCCTTAGTGGGATTCTAAGGAGGTGTTTTTCATCCTTTGATTTGTTCAGAGGAGGTGTTCATCCCTAGTGGGATTCTAGGGAGGTGTTCATCCTTAGTGAGTTTCTAAGGAGATGATTGTCTTTTTAATTAGTTTACTTTTTATTGGTTCTTCTGCTGAGTTGATTGTAATTTGTAAACTGAATTTGAAAGATAGTGAATGGGGAGTCACTCTTGTGTTAAGAGTTGACTGGGAACTGGATGTAGGGTTGACTATACCCGAACCGGTATAAATCTTTGTGTGCTCTTCTCTTTCCCTTATCTCTTTCTCTTTTCCTGATTATATTATTACTTCCGCTCTAACAAATTATTGACTCACATAAATTTTTAATTTGACATCTATTTTAATTTGTGCATCTATTCACCCCCTCTAGATGTCATTTGTCTAACAAGTGGTATCAGAGTTTGGTTAGATAAGATATTTCTAAACGATCTGTCAAGATGTCTATGCAGAATCAGGTTTACAGGGAAGGAGCCTCAATAAACAAACCTCCATTATTTGAAGGAGAAGACTATCAGTTTTGGAAGGCGAGAATGGAAATATTTTTACAAACACTAGATTATGGTGTTTGGGATGCTGTACTCAATGGTCCTTACATTCCGATGAGAACAACAGAGTCTGGAGTTGTTCCAAAGACTTTTGATCAATGGACGCCGGATGAAAATAAGCGTGCCCATTATGATGTAAGAGCCCGAAATGCTATTGTTTCTGCCTTAACTCATAATGAATTTTTCAGGATCTCACAATGCAAGACGGCAAAAGAAATATGAGACATTCTTGAAGTAACACATGAAAGAACAAATGAAGTAAAGCAAGCACGTAAAAACACACTCATCCAGGAGTATGAATTATTTCAAATGCAGCAAAATGAAAGCATCACAAATTTCCAAACACGCTTCACACATATAGTAAATCACTTGAAAGCATTAGGAAATAGTTTTGACAATGAGGAGTTGAACACAAAGATCTTAAAATCCTTAGATAGGAATTGGCAACCAAAGGTCACTACTATTACAGAATCAAAGAATCTCACAAAAATGAATATTGCTACTCTATTTGGAAAGCTGCAAGAACATGAGATGGAGCTACAAAGGTTAAAGAACAGTGAACAGAATAAAACCAAGACGATAGCTCTAAAAGTAGAAAAATCTTCACAAGACGAAAGCGAAAATGAAGGTAAGTTTTCGGATTCCGATATGTCTCTTTTTGTTAAACAATTTTCTCGCTTTATGAAGAACAGGAAAAAGAGACAGCAAAGAAAGGAGAAAACAAATAAATTTCATTGTTATGAATGTGAAAAACCTGGTCATATCAAATCAGACTGTTCGGAACTTAAGAAAGAGAAGAAAGATGTGAAAGAGAAGAAAAAAGAGAAGAACGATACCTATAAGAGTAAACACAAAGCTTATATTGCTTGGGAGGATAATGATTCTTCCACAACACAAGAGAGTTCTTCTGAAAGCAGTGATGGAGAAGAAGAAGCAAATATTTGCTTGATGACAAAAAATGATGATGAAGCCTCATAACATGTAAGTAGTACAAATTTCTTAAATGAATATGATGAGTTATTTAAAGAATATCAAGATATGTATGAAGGTTTTACCAAGTTATCTAAGAAATACAATGCACTTAGACAAAAGTTTAATGCATTAGAAAATATTGTTGGTATTCTTGAAAAAGAAAATGAGTGCTTAAAGAAAGATGTTGAGAAATCTAAAACTTTATCTAAAAATAAAGAAGTTGTTAAACCTTGTGAAAATTGTAATCTTTTGGAAAATGAGATTTTCAAGTTAGAGAAAATAATAAGCAATTTTTCAAAATCTTCTGAAAATCTTGATTCGATATTAGGTTATCAAAGAGGAAATTCTAGCAAATCTGGACTTGGTTACAAACCCAAAGAAAGTCTAGAACCTCATAAAACTATTTTTGAGAAAAAGTCAAGGAAAACATATGTGAAACCAGTTTCAAAAACTTTAAGAAACGCATTTAGACATTTTCAAAGAAAACCAACATGTTTTTATTGCATGAAATTAGGTCATACATCAAATAGATGTTACATAAAACATTTTGACATATCTAATGGCAAATATGAATGGGTGCCTAAAGGAACAAAATATTTATATAGGTCTAGATGATAATTTGAGCATCTAATTGATTATTAGAATCAATTTTTTTTTTCTTGTTGTCATAATAAATTATGTTGACCAACTTTGAAATTTGAAAGTTTGAATTTTGAAAATTTGAATTTATGAAAATTTGAAATTATAAAGTTTGAAATCTTGTAATTTGAGATTTTTGAAATTTGAAATTTTGCAGTTTAAGATTTTTTTTGCAATATAAGATTTTTGAAATTTGAAATTTTGCAATTTGAGATTTTTGAAATTTGAAATTTTGTAGTTTAAGACTTTGAAATTTGAAATTTTTGCAGTTTGAGATTTTTGAAATTGAATTTGAATTGGAATTTGAATTTGAAATTTGGGATTAGAAATTTGAATTTGAAATTGGTTAGAATTTGAATTTGAAAATTGAAATTTGTTGCAATTTGAATTTGAAATTTGAAATATGGAATATGAGTGCATTTGAATTTGAAAGCTGCCTAAATAAGAAAACTACAATGGAGGGAAACTACTGCATTTAATTCCATTATCTCTATAATCATTTTATTTCCCTATCTTTCTCTCTTTTCATTTATCTTGGGTATCCTAGATATTGTTTCCTTAATATGATATTATTTTCTATGACACTTTTTAATGCATTATTTTCTCTATCTTGATTTATATACTAATAGGTACAAATTTGTTCTCAGTTTCTATTGCAATATTTTTCATAATTATCAATGAAACAGGAAGATATTTTGATGATATTAATCTGTGTGAAACAGGGGAGATTTTTTTCTTTTATAATATTTTTCATAATAATATCAATGAAACATGGAAATATTTTGATGATATTAATCATGTCGAAACAGGGGAGATTTTTTCTTATAATATTTTTTTAATTATCATTGAAACAGAGAGATATTTTGATGATATTAATCCGTGTGAAACAGGGGAAAATTTTTTCTTATAATATTTTTTATGATTATCAATGAAACAGGTGAGAGATTTTTTGATGAATTAAAATCTGTGTGAAATTCTTTCCTATCTAAATTAAACAAGGGGAGTTAAGAGAAGTATTTGCTCATATGAGTTAGGGGGAGTCTTGTTATTAATATATTCGAGTGGAGATTAAGAGACTCGACACTTGATACAAATTTGTGCTAATCTTGAGCTAGCTACATAGAGTCAAGCATTTTAATTCATTTCAGGTGT